CAAGACATGAGGGAGTCTGTTATTCCTTTTCGGTGAGGCAGCCCAGCAAGACCCTGGGCTGGGGAAAGACCCCGAGCTGGAGAAAGACCCCGAGCTGGGGGAAACCTGGGCTTCATTCCTGCCTCTGCCACTGTCAGGTGTCACCTGGGCTGAGCTCTTGACCTTCCCTGAGTGTCTGCTCCTTCTGTTAAACAGAGCTAATGCAACTTACCTCGTAGAACTCTTTCAGGGACAAATGAACTAATTATGCCAACTGCCTGACAGAGGATAAACTCTCAATTAAAGGTAGTTATTACATTATTAGTTCATGGACATTAAACCCTCTCCCTTGCCAGGGCTCCAGGGACCCTAGGGAGGCCAGGCATCCTGCTAGCTATTTAATACTATTTGGCATTTCACGACCCTGCTGGCCAGCCACCGACTGAAAGAGACCTGTGCTTCCCTTCCTCAGTCCTCGACACCGTCGTCTGATAGTTTCCATCCTTGTCCAAACAGGTATTTGGCAAAGTCCAACTCAGCATCCTGGGGGAAACACTTTAAGAAGCTGTCTCTAAGAACGCATTGCATGTAAAAGCTGGAACTGCTTGTACCTCAGAGAGCTCTATGAGGCTCTCAATTCAATGCATTTCACGATGCTCGGCTTCGGCAGATGCTAGGTCCAAAACTGATTTCACCAGAACATCCATTTCCAAGAATTGACAACTACATGCAGTCCTTGCATCTTCAAGTCACTGGCATGAATTAACTTGGACCAAGAATGAAACAGTAACTGAAAGGCCAGAACAAATGTACCTTAATGAAAAGGAAGCAAGAATGCTACCGCTGTCTTACACATAGGAACACTCCTATCAAGCCAGGTATGGTGGGCTCACACCTATAATCCCAGCACTTCAGGAGGCCGAGGTAGGTGGATCACCTGAGGTCAGGAGATCGAGACCTGGCCAACCTGGTGAAACCCTGTCTCTACTAAAAATACAAAAATTAGCCAGGCGTGGTGGCGGGTGCCTGTAATCCCAACTATTTGGGAGGCTGAGGCAGGAGAATTGCTTGAACCCAGGAGGCAGAGGTTGCAGTAAACCAAGATCGCGCCATTGCACTCCAGCCTGGGTGACAACAGCGAAATTCATCTTAAAAAAAATACTCCTAACAATAATAAGGAATACTTCATTTCTAAAGGCTATTTGTGCTTTCAACAGGGACTTTTCAGCTCAAAATTAAGCTATGAGCACAGGAGAGTGAAGACACAGAAAACTACAGCTTAAACAGAGAGGAATACTTCAAGTCATCCACCAATCACTTACTAATTGGAGCTAGAAAATCACTGAATAAACTCCATGTCCACTAAAGAAGAAAACTGTGCCATTTTTGAAGATCAGTTGCACGTGGTGGCTACATAAACAGAAAGATGCAAACTGCCACCTCACTATGTAGACTGTTTAGATAGTTCTTCAAAGATAATCACTAACACATTGTTGTAAAACACTTACCAAACATAATGTGTTCTATGCATTAGTCTATACTCTATAGTAATTCTTTGTTATTATTCTATATTCCATGCATATAGATAATAAAAGTCTTCTATACACTATTTGTCCATGGTCAAATAAAATCTTCAAGCAACTACACTTTAAAGCAAAAATCCTTCTTGGCTCGACTCTGTATTTCACACGAGTCTACAAGCTCCATGAAAGAAGGGGCCGTTGAAACGGCTTACAACTATGTACTGAATTCATGTAATAAACAGTATCATTAATGTCCTTTAAGGACTGTCAGTGGTCCTAGAAAATTATAAAGAATCTTTAAAATGTTTTTTCAGACCTTCCTATCGTATTGTATGAATACTCGGAAAGGATAAGCTTTGCAACAGGTGATCCAACATTTGCAATGTTCAGTGAACAGAAATGAGACTCCAGGGGAAAGATTACGTTGATGTTACTCAATCTCTTTCAACTACGTGTGATTTCAAGTAATCTGAATTTCATTCTGTTTTTAAAAAAGAGTAAGAGTAATACAGTCTACAGTAAAAGTTGTCTGAATCACTCCAGGGCTTAAGATGTTGACCCTTTGTAGGCCTTTGCTAATGTCCTGCACATCTAAATGCCCCTGTTTTAACTAAGCCTGCACAGGGAGTCCGTGGGTCACAGTTTACTACTCCCAGTAGGTCCCATTATCAGCTACATTAGCTCAACAAACATTTCAGTAAACTAAAGCAGCTATATCATGTGGACAAATAGTCAGATTTTCCAGGATTTGCACTCATCAGTTGGTTAATTGAATAACGTGTCAACATAACAAAATGTTTGCCTCTTGCCATCTCAGAGAAGCAAAATCTCCCCTGGGCAGAACTTCCATTTTCTGAGACTCTCCTGTAATAGGCAGGAAACTGCAAACCCAGTGTTTCATTTAAATTAGCTACATAGTTCGTTCTGTTGCTCTTCTATTTAAAACTGTAGAAAAGGCAAAGTAACTAAAATAAGGAAGCACAAAGAATAGTGACTGCAAACAATTCACTGGAAATTAAAAAAAAATCACTAGTGATAGACCAAAGGCAAATTAAAATGTATGTTTCTCATTCAGATACTAAAAATACAAATCTGAACATCTCTTTCAAGAATACCAAAAACTGGTGATCACATGGCTCACTCTATAATGAAGCTGAAATAGAAACTCTTATCAGAAAACATTTGACCCGTATCCCTTTTACCAACAGCATGAAGTCATACCAGCCATACCAGCCGTTTAAGTCACTACACTGAGGCATTTTAACATGCAATTAACTTTCTTTCGGGATCTAGAAAGCCCACAACCCCCAACCTCCAAATCAAATAGGTAGGCCGCTAACTGCCATCCAGTGGTAGAGAGAATTTTGCAAGATGTTTTACCTGATTATCTCAATGTAACAGAATCCTAACCCTGCACAAGGAGTGACTGTTACTATGTAAATGGCTACATTACAACATTAAAGCCAAAGCCACTAAGTAGAAAACAAATGAGAAACTCAGGAGGAGGTGCCAATGGCCCAGCGTCTGTTTTCAAAAGAGCAACAGAACAACAATTACTGAAGGGCTGTCTCCTAAAATTACTCTCTGGTTGATATTTCTCAATATTAAAATGTCATGAGAAATATGCTAGCTGCCACTCACTCTCCCTTAAAAGAAAGCATTACCAAAGAACACCACCGAAAAACAAAGGCATTCATACTGGGAAGTGAATACCCTAAGCACAGAAGTATGTTCTTAAGAAGGACACCAGGGCCAGGGGCGGTGGCTCACACCTGTAATCCCAGCACTTTGGGAGGCCGAGGCGGGTGGATCACGAGGTCAAGAGATGGAGACCATCCTGGTCAACATGGTGAAACCCCGTCTCTACTAAAAATACAAAAAATTAGCTGGGTGTGGTGGTGTGTGCCTGTAATCCCAGCTACTCAGGAGGCTGAGGCAGGAGAATTGCCTGAACCCAGGAGGCGGAGGTTGCGGTGAGCTGAGATCACGCCATTGCACTCCAGCCTGGGTAACAAGAGCGAAACTCCGCCTCAAAAAAAAAAAAAAAAAGACACCAAAAAAGCAGAAGTCACATTAAGTTCCAAACACCAAGAAAAAAAAAAAACTGAACAGAACTTCCTAATTTTGGTAATATTATATACTACCCCAAAAAAATAACTGTCCATGAGTTGAGATTTATCAATTTTATATATAGAAACCCCTATATATTTTTTATATATAGAAAAATATTCAGAACTCCCTGCCTTTGGGTGATAGAGGGACACTATGAAGGAGAAACAGGAATTTAGCCTTCTTCTATCACATTTATGGAAATGTGCAGTTTTTTCGGTGAAATTTAGGTTTGATATGGGAGTTCTTGTTCTCTAAGTAAGTTTCCCGTTTGATGGAAATTTTAAGCAGCACTGATTTTTGTCAATTAGCTTTAGATATGCTAGACTCTAGAACAGGGGTGTTAAGTTCATCACACTGCAGACAGGTTTGCAGTTTCCCTTGGTTCTCACTGCTTGGCATTACCTATCAAAGAGCAGGACACCTTGCAAACCCAAGAAGAGGCATGGGCCGAGGAGGAAAGGTAAGCCAAAAATATCTAACAAGCATGTCTACATTTGTTGTGAAATTTAGCTTTTCACAACAAAAAGCGAGGGGACTGATATTTTCTGCATCATAGGGCTCATAGACGGACTTGTAAAAAAAATCATATGATGATCACTTAGCATTAGGTAACATTTAAACAATCTTGGGTGCCTAACACTTGAAAGACTGATGATTTCAAACGCATGAAAACTTTGGTTTAGATTCCAATATTTCACAGAATTGCATGGTTTCAAATTCACCATAAAGAAGGGGCCTCTTTTGAGCATCAATTCCAAGAGCTATTTAGCATCAAGGAACCGCATTAGCTGTACAATTCATGATGATGTTAATTAGGAAAGGAGCTAGAAAAAAAAAAATCACTGAAGCTTTGATACACTAAAACTCACTATTAACCTGACGAACTATTATTTTCCAGGGAAGTGCTAATGATATGAAATAGCAAAAAATGTTACTAGTTCCTTAATAACAAATCATTTAAGAGAAAATTGCAACTTGGTATAGAACTCACCGAGCCCCTCGCCAATTCAATCGGGACCTCCTTTGATAATTTAACAACTAATTCCTGTCTGGAATTACCCATTCCAGTGCCTTTTTACGTGAATCTCATTTCATTTTTTTAATAAAGTGCTACCGGTAGATCTGCAAGTTGAGGAGAGCAGCTCAGGTGACACACTTGGCACCAAAAACAATATTGAGTGGTTCAAAATCCTGCGTGGGCACAAAATAGAAGAGGAGCCTAGGGAGGTGACGAGACTTACGGACTTCAAGAAGAGCAAGCACTGAAAACAGCAGTTTAAGTACCTCCGACAAAAAGCAACAAGCCTGCAATCCCCAGGTAAGCGGCCCAGTGGGAGCTGAGAGGATGGAGTTGCAAAGGGGGACCGCAGAGCCCGGGAAGAAGGTGCGACAGGCAGGGAGCCGACAGGGACCACACCAAAGCAACAGGAAGAACCCGGGGATGGGACGGGAGAGGGCAGGGCTGAGCGGGAAGGGGCGACAGGGATGGTCCAGCCAAGGCATAACCAGCCTTCACCCGGGCGCTCGCTGCGCGCACAGCGCCGCGCTGGGCACTTTGGAGCGCTCTCTCGGAGTCCCCCCCACCGGCCCTCCGATGCCCCATTTCAGAGACTGGAATGACGAGGCCGACCCCGCAACGCCCGCTCAGCTCTGTCACCCGCCCCGGGGCAGCGGTGGCTCAGCGCCTGACCCTCCCGGACGCAGGGGGTCGCTGGCGGCCGCAGGGGGCGGTGGCGTGGGGGCCGGCGCGGGCCGGGGCAGCCGGTACCTGGGCTCGGGCAGGACGATCCTCTTGCTGGCGCGGGCGGCCGGGGTCGCCTTGCTCTTCTCCATGGCCATCAGGTAACTGACATCGGCCAGCACGGCCTCCAGGTCCGCCATGTTGGCATGTTTTGGCGGCGGCGGCGGCGGTTACTCCGGACCCGGACGGGACGCGCGCCCGCCGCCGCCGCCCGCCGCTCCCCGACCTGGGGGGGCCGCCCCGGGGCAGCCCCCCCTCCGCGCGCCCCCGCACCGCGCGCGCGCCGCGCGCCCCACCAGCGCCCCGCAGGCTGTAGCCCGCCGGGGTCGCCGCGCGCCTCCCCGCTCCGCCCCCTCGCGCGCCGCCCCCCGCCCCGCGCACGCGCGCCGTCCCCCGCTTCTTCCGCGAGGGTCTGCGGGGAGCGCGCGCCCGACGGTCCGCGCTCCGCGGTGCCCAGTCCCAACTGCCCGGCTCGGCCAGCGCCTCCCGACTAAGTCTCTACGGTCGCCCTCCCCTCGAGGTGGCCACGAGGGACTCCTCCTCCTCCTCCTCTTCCTCCTCCCCTTTGGCTTCCCCTCCCCCCTCCGCCGCCGCCGCCTCCTCCTCCTCCTCGTTTGCTGCGTGGACCTCCCGCCCCCCGTTCCATGCGCTCTCTTTCATCCAGAGAAGCCCTGGGCTGGATGCCCACTACCCAAGGGGCATCGGGGAGCCTCTGCGCCCTGGACACAATAGTTCTCCAACTGGACGGTGTCAATCAGCATCCTCCTAGAGGTCTGGGAAGGCCCAGGAAATACATGTGTCCCACCTGTCCCCGCAGGTGATGATGAAACCCCGTGCCCCAGCGGATCGGGCCCCTTCTTCGTGACCCTGAACATCGCCCCAGCCCCGCCGTGAGAATTCAGCGAAGAGTAAAAAGCTGAAGAAAGTTGCGTGTCTCAGGCTAAGCAAAGTGGAGTGAGGGCTCCCCGGCTAGGAACAGCTGCCCTTAGGGAGCCCCCCGTTGGAAAAGCTCTCGGCTTTAGAAGGTCACCACTCCCTTGCACTCAGGTGAGAGGTTTTAGTTTGGGTGTTGAAATGGGTGTTGAGAAATAGGGAGAGAGTATTCCAGCCCTTAGCGTTTTAAGGTCAGTACCGGAGACAATTAGGGAGCATCTACTGCGAGCACACTCGCACCACAAGGGTGATTTAGGGAAGTGGAAAAGCTAGATAGAGCCCAAACACCGAGACTGGGGGGAATTTCCAGCTTCCCGATCTTCAGTCTCGGTGTCTTTCGTCATCACTCCACCCCCCTGCCTGGGGTTTTCTGTTGCTTCTTATTTTTCTACAGTGTACTCACAAGTCCACATTCAGGATCCATGTGACATTCAGGCTGGAGTGGTGTTAAGGGACACGCAGGCAGTCTTAGGAAGACCTAAGCTGAAAAATGAATGTTCTAAAATCCCTTTCATTCACCTGAATTGTTCATGTGTTCCCAGGAGCCTAGACGTTGCTAGAATTTGAGTAAACGTTCTGTCCATAACTTACAGGGTTAAAGGGACCCAACAGACACAATTAAGGTCAAATTTCAGCTATTTCATTTAATGTCATTGCAGAAGCAGCCTGATTCCGTCATCAAGTAGCCTGATTCCCTGTTTTGTTTTCCATCTCAGATTGAGACTCAATCTGATTCCCTGCTATGCCTGTGTTCGCCATTGGTCACCTTTACCATATGTTTCTCTAGACCCCAGGCACCATAGGCATAAAGTTGTCCTGAAACAGACAATAGGAGCGTCACAAGTAGGGATGGCAGTCGAAGGAGCTTGGTGTGACAGTAGAAAGCCGAAATGACAGGCAAGCACGAAATACATTCATAAGACAAAGCTGTGCATGAGCCAAATATCAAACTTTAATCTTCTACCCACTTTATTTTTGCTTAAAAACAGGAAGACAGAATGTCTTGTCAAGGGTCACCCCAGGAGGAGGAGTAAATTCCCCCAAAAAAGCAGAACATATTTTTATGATTTAATTAATACAGTTTCTCTCAATGTATCTGTTTATCATTTGAGCATCCGCATGATCAGACCTGACTTCTGCCTGCATTTTCTTGCTTGTCTTCAGTTAAGAACCTTTTGGGTTTTTCTTTTTGCTCTTTTTTTCCCCCAGCAGTACGGTGTAGTAAGTTTGGAACAAGACGCACCTGAAATCAAATACCTGTCCTATGCCTGCAGGTGGGTGATCTTAGAGGCACTCTTTTACCTCCTTGTACTGTATTGTTCTCATAGGAAAAGTGGTAATGAGGCCTTTTACCCCAGGGTTGTTGAGAAGACAGAGGAGAAAAAGCACATAAAAATGCATTTTGTCAGGACGGTGGCTCACACCTATAATCCCAGCACTTTGGGAGGCTGAGGCAGGTGGATCACTTGAGGCCAGTAGTTCAAGACCAGCCTGGCCAGCATGGTGAAACACTGTCTCTATTAAATATACAAAAATTAGCCAGGCATGGTGGCACACACCTGTAATCCCAGCTACTCAGAAGGCTGAGGCACAAGAATCGCTTAAACCCAGGAGGCGGAAGCTGCAGTGAATCAAGATCACACCACTGCACTCCAGCCTGGGTGACAGACCTAGTCTCAAAAGGAGAAAAAGGAAAAGTCATCTTGCCTGGCACCCAGTAGATCCTCAATAAAGGTCACAGCACTTCCTCTGTTTATTTTGCTTCATTTTACCCTGGCATGCTAGAGAAGATACTGAAACTAGTTGTTCACAGTCTTTGCCCTTAAAGCAGGAAGACCCCTTACCAAAAATAACATCTCCCTAGGGGGTTTCTAGGAACCAAAATGGCAAAAAACATTTGCATTTATAAACACAAGCAATTACTCTTTTGGCAGAAAGAACAAGGAGTCCAAAATGTGGTCCTCTCACTGAGGCTCCTACACCATTTGAGTCAGCTGGTTCATGTACCCAGGGGTATTTTTTTCTGGTATTTGTAGTGTGTGAACTTCTGTTCCCTGGCTGGCTCTCTGGTTGTCTCACTTTCTCCGCCCCCTCTTCTTTCTCTTTTCCTTGACTCTGTTAATACTGAGCAGCTTTTTGCGTTCACTGCAAACAAAAGGGGTTAATGACAGTGATGAAGTTGTCATTACTGACCTGCTGGATCCTGTTACTAAACACCATCCCCAGCCTGTGATCATTACAAAGAACAGAGAAAACAAATAGCAGCCCATTTGTACTTAGCTAATAGTGCTCCCTTGCAAATAATTATGTTTCCCACCCCACCCCCCCAGAGGATTTAAATGACTTAGGGCTCACGCTGCTTGTGATAATAGACAAAACTCCAACGTTCCCACAAGGTTCATGATGTTCTCTTTTCCTCTTTTTACGTCTCTCCGTCATTAGAGGAGATATTGCTGAGATGGGTGCATTAAAGTTTAGGCTTTCCAGAGGTTGTGATTCTTTTTGTTTTTTGTTTTTTTTTTTTTTAAAGACGGAATCTCTCTCTGTTGCCAGGCTGGAGTGCGGTAGCACAATCTCGGCTCACTACAACCTCCACCTCCCAGATTCAAGCGATTCTCCTGCCTCAGCCTCCCTAGTATCCTGTGTGTTAAGCTCCAATCTTCGTCACGTGAGAGTATTTGAAATGGATATAGATGATGACTGAGAGCTCGATGAGTCTTCAGATGAAGAGGAGGAGGCCAGTAACGAGCCTGTGAAAATAAAGGAAGAAGTGTTGTCAGAGTCGGAGGCAGAGAACCAACAAGCCGGTGCTGCCGCCTTAGCTCCAGAGATAGTCCTCAAAGTGGAAAAACTTGACCCTGAGCTAGATTCATAATCTAGCTTGCTATTACTGTGTGTGTCATTATGGCCAAAAGGACCTAGGAGATGGACTGAGATGTCTTGGACCACCTTTAATTTTCTTTGTGTGACAAAGAAATAAACAGTCAATTTTATTTTTTCAAAATTACAGGCACATGCCACCACATTCAACTAATTTTTGTATTTTTAGTAAAGACGGGGTTTCATCATGTTGGCCAAAATGGTCTCCATCTCTTGACCTCCTAATCCACCTGCCTCAGCCTCCTAAAGTGTTGGGATTACAGGTGTGAGCCACCAAAGTTTCTTTTGCCAACAACTTGAAATGAAAAAAGCGGAGAACTGACTGGCCTTATTTGTTTTAGATTCTGGACTTTACTAGGACTTCCTACTCTCAGAATCTCTGGACTATAAAAGCTGGGTGGGGTGGGAGCTGGGAACGTTCTTCTGGGAAATTAATCACAAATGAAAAGAAAATCAACTCTCAGACTCCAGTTAGAAGACTTTTGAAAATTGCAGAACATGAGTGGCCTTCATTCATTCAAGTCACAATATTTAAAGCAGTCCTTGCTAAAAAGAACTTGATTTTGTAAAAGCAGTGTCTTAAATAGAATTGCTTCTCAAGAAAACAACAGGAAATTGATGTCTGAATGGTTTTATTTACAAACATCTCGCTCTGTAAACCTCTGCAGGTATTTCCACGCTCCCAGGGGCCACCGTCCCATTTCACATATAATTTGGATCACGGTTCTGTTGGTCGTCACACACATCAAACGAATGGCTTTTCATGCTACTTTTATCCATAAAGCTATACAAACTTTAAGGGCAGCTGTATATGTGACAACTTGAAAAAGATCTGCCAAAAGGTGTGATACCAAGCTTTGCTTTTCATAGCACTAAAATGATGCTCACTACAGAAATACTTTCAATATGTGAGTGGAAACACATTTCTCTACGGGGACTCCTGGTCAGGGAGTCTCTCTAAAGAAAAGTCACAGTACTGTGGCTCAGATCATGGGCTCAGAAGTCAAATGAGAAGCCCAAGACCAGTCCTTCTGAGCTGTGTGAACTTAGACGAGTTGCCTAATCTCTCTGTGTCTCAGCTCTCTCCCAGTGTTGTCAATGGGAGTGCTGTGAGAGCAATGTTGTAAAAAGCGCTTAGAACTGTGTCTGGCACACAGAAAGCACTCGATAAATATTGACCTGGTTATCTGCAGTGCATCATTACAGCATCTCTACATCACAAGGGGCCTGATGGGAAGAGACCAGCACTGAGATTGAATAAAACAGTGCCGGCTCTCACCTGCTCTGCCATTGTCTCCTAAGCGGTTGTTTGTTTGTTTTTTGTTTTTTGTTTTTTTTTTGAGACAGAGTCTCACTGTCACCCAGACTGGAGTGCAGTGGCACCATCTCAGCTCACTGCAACCTCTGCCTCTTGGGTTCAAGTGATTCTTCTGCCTCAGCCTTCTATGTAGCTGGGATTACAGGTGCGTGCCACCATGCCCGGCAAATTTTTATATTTATTAGAGACGGGGTTTCATCATGTTGGTCAGGCTGGTCTCGAACTCCTGACCTCATGATCCCCCGACCTCAGCCTCCCAAAGTGCTGGGATTACAGGCATGAGCCACTGTGCTCCACCCTCCTAAGCTTTTTAAATCTCACTTTTCACCAGTAACTAATGAAAAGATTGAAGGAGTGGGTCCCCTGAGGTCTTTTCAATTTCTAAAATTCTCCAGCTTTATTTAATCCTGCAGTGAATCCTTTTGCAAGGTAAAGAGTACTTACTCCCCTCAATAACCTCTTATGCGTTTAGGTTTTGTTGCATAGGGCAATGCCCAGGACATTGATGATTTTCACTGTCACCATAGCCCACAGGTGATGTGAGCAATCCATTAGCTTGTTTCTGGAAACAAGCCTGTATGTATTTGTTCCCCCAGCATCTGCTCTCAGCACACTGACTTTTCCCAGTATATGTGTTGGATGGATAAGTGAACGAATGAATGAATGACATAAAGATTGTAAATTGCCTCAGCCTTCTACTGGAAAATAACCTAAAGGAAAGGGGAAAATTGCTACTTAACACCACAAGTGCCACTCCAGGGATGCATTCTATGAAAGGAGGAGTGCTAACTGCCAGGTCCCCACTGGTCCTTGGTGCTGCTTATGGCCTGGAAGACCTCTCCTGCAGTCAAGAGCCCTGACGTGCTGGCTGGGCAAAGGTGAGTCTGGGAGCTTTAGGTGTAGCAATGGAGAGAATTCACTCTCTTTGCCTAAGAAAGAGGACTTAGAGGGGAACTTGAAAGAGGGAGTAAGAGAGAGGGCAATAAGACAGTCTGAGGCTAGGCACTCCATGCAGTGTGAGGCCAGTCTGGAGGTGGGGTTGTCTGGAAAACATTCAGCAATGGGACATCTGCTCTTCTGTCTTCTGTGGCATTTTAAGTTCTGTACAGCAATGTCGTGCTTTTCCTTAACAACTTCCCAGCTTGTATTTGTAGGTACTGAGATGCAAGGTTGCAGGGGAGGCAGGGAACCCAGACTGGGATCAATACCAGGACTGAGATAAAGGAACAGCTGTAAGACCAAGAGAACAAGACCTCAGCAAAATCAGGGAATTCGGGGCCCGCCATGGTGATGGGAACGTGGGCTCTGAGGAACCACAGACAGCCAAGGAAGACCTTGGCCTCTCCATGGGAATGGACAGCCCAACTTGTCTCCCTCTCACGGAGAAGATGACCTCTGGATATGTGAGTCACAAAAGGCCAGAACTTTTCTGCATCACAAAGTCACCTCTAGCCATTAGCCTGGTGGCCTTCCCTCCAGCATTCTGTCTGAAAGGACACATGCCATTTAGCTGGGAAATTATATCAAAACCAATCCAAGAAAGGCTAACAACGAACCCAGCCTGCTGAAAAAATGTGTGCAGATCTCCCACAGCACCCTCTTACAAACACAGGTCATTTGGAATAGCCACCTGGGCCAGTGGCAGCTGGTACTGAGCAATCCACCCCCAACTCTCAAAGCCCGTCTTTTCCTGTCCTGGTCAGGTCTGTTTCTTCTCTCTTGATCAACAGAAATGACTCCCAAACTACTTAGCACAGAGCAGCTCATGAGTATAGATTCAAATAGGTCATACTCGATTATGAAATCAGGCTGCCTGGGCCAGACCTGACATAACCCTGATCCCAAAGGACCACCCCTACCCTTCCCTGGGAACCACCAGAAAAGTGGTCATATGTGCCTAAGACGTGCTCGCCACCAGTGCCCCAGACACTTATGTGCTAAAAGGGCCAACATGCAGATTCGGATTCAGAGGTCCAGTTGGGGCCTGAGAATCTGCACTCTCTGCAAGCCCCCAGGTGGTGCTAACACAGCAGAAACATTGGCCTCTTAGGCCCCACCACGGACCTAACTAAAGCCAAATCTGCACTGGAACAAGATGCCCAGGCCGTCTACCACCCTGAAGTTGTTCATGCTGGCCTCACTTAGATGAGGGAGTTCCAGATTAGAGAAAGGTCAGATCACCAGAGCCCAAATGGGCAGCCACCAGAGTGAGGAGGAGAGGAGGGAGGGGCAGGTCAGAGAGGTCAGCAGGACTAGATTCTGCAGTACCTGGAGCCACAGTGGGGAATTGAAGCTGTCCTGGCTCACTGGAAAGCCAGTGGACGATTTCCAAGAGGAGAGTGACAAAATCAGAGGGAACATTTTTTTTTTTTTTTGTCCACTACACTAGTGACAGAGGGAACATTTTATAGGATCCTTCTGGCTGGGGGATACAGGACCACTTGTGGGGGGATAGGTGAATTAAGGGAGGTCCTAGAGGGATCTAGGGTAGCGGTCCAGTCCAAGAGACCTAGAGAGGGTAGCCACAGTAAGCAGACAAGCACATCGCACATGGTCCAGGGTGCTTTGCAGGCCTCTGAGTCGGTCAAATACAAAAGGAAAGCCCTCCCACTTTCCCTTCTCCCTGGAACAGATCTCTCTGACTTCTCACCTGGAAGCTACCCACAGGTTGCCAACTCCTCCTTCTGTTTCCTAACCCTCCCTCCTTCAATCCATCTGACACTTTCCTGACCCTGCTCAAAAACCTTCAATAGCTCCCCATTGCCTACCAAATGATCTACAACCTCCTCGGCCCACACTTTTATGTTCTACTTCTATTTCTGCCTGACCCATGACACAGTAGTTCATGCTTTCATTCATGCAACAAATATGTATTGAGTACCATCAACATGGAAGGCACTAAAAAGAAATCACTCATCTGCCAAGGCACATAGTCAATTTCAGGAGGGTTATAGCCACGCTGAAACGCTCTCCCAGATAAGTGCTCTGACTGCAGCAAATAAAAATAATGATAGACAACACTTATTAAATACTGTGTGCCAACTATCATGTCACTTTGTGGGACTATCTTAATAACGTTCCTCAGACACGTGTAATGGAGAGGGGTGGCCTCATTTTGTTTTGTTTTTGTTTGAGACAGGGTCTCACTCTGTCACCAAGGCTGCAGTGCAGCGGTGTGATCTCAGCTCACTGTAGCTTCAATCTCCTGGGTTTAAGCAGTCTTCCCACTTGAGTCTCCCAAGTAGCTAAGACCACAGGTATGTGCCACCACGCCTGGCTAATCTTTTTGTTTTCTGGGGGATGTTACCATGTTGCCCAGGCTGATCGTGAACTCCTGAGCTCAAGCGATCCACCTGCCTCGGCCTCCCAAAGTGCCAGGATTACAGGTGTGAGCCACTGCACCTGGCTGGTTGGCCTCATTTTAGTCAAAAGAAAAATCTCAAGTCACTTGGAAAATAAGTGCAACAACTAAATTCATAAGATATGAACTCAGGCAGCCTCAACTCAGGGCTTGCCCCCTTAACCCTTGTCCTCTGAATGTCTGTGTACTCTTAAGTCCTGGGGCTGTGAGTGAGAAACATAAAATCCACGTGTTAAAGTGCACAGGAAAACCCCATGCAAATTCTCTTTCCGAGTCACCTCCTTCCTGCTACTCCCACGTCCCCTCACGAAGCCGGGGTCACATTAGCCGAGTGATTGCAGCCTTGAGAGTTCTGTCCTCCTTTTCCCTTTGCCTGGAACACTCTCCTTCAAGGCCTTTTCTGGGGAGGGGGGTGGGGGCCTGTCACCATTCAGATCTTTGCTCAGATATCACCCCTGGCATCTCTGGGAGAGAAGCCACTGAGACACTTGTAGGCAATAATGCAAATCTGTCAGAAATTCTCTTGGGGGGCTCCTGTCATGTCCTAAGCCCTTTTCTCTGGTTTCCTTTTTACTGTCTTCCTCTCCACTTCCTCCCACCTCACCTTGCCCCGTTAGCCCTCCAGGAACAAGTGCCCCTCACTTCTCCTCCATGTTCTCCTCCCTAATCAAAAGCTACTCCCATCAAAAGCTGTCCTACCTGCCGTATATGCCTTAACGTGAATTTGTTGGTAGATCAGCTTTTCCAGAAATGTCTGTGATTTTTTAAAATTTTTATTTATTTATTTATTTGTCTGGTTGTTGTTGCTGTGTTTAGACCGAGTCTTGCTCTGTCACCTAGGCTGGAGTGCAGTGGCACGAGCTCAGCTCCCTGCAACCTCTACCTCTACCTCCGCCTCCTGGGTTCAAGAACTTCTCCTGCCTCAGCCTCCCGAGT